TGTGGTTTCGAAGCCACTTTGGCGGTCTTGAAGCCATTTTGGCGGTCTTGAAGCCATTTTGGTGGTCTTGAAACCACTTTGGTGGTGTTGAAGCCACTTCTTAAGGTTGACGGAATTTTGGCGGTCTTAAAGCCAATTTGGGGGTCTTGAACCCATGTTGGTGGTCTTGAAGCCATTTTGGTGGTCTTGAAATTGGCGACTTGCAGCCATTTGTGGAATAGAAGTCCCTTCTTGAAGTTGATTGCATTTTTGTGGTCTTGAACCCATTTTGGCCAATTTGGTGGCCTTGAATCCAATTTGGGTGTCTTGTAACCATTTTGACGGTTATGAAATTATGTTGGCGGTCTTGAAGTCAACGGTATTGACAGTCTTGATCAAATTTTTGTAGTATTGAAATCATTTTGGCGGTCTTGAGCCCATCCTGGTCTTGAAGCCATTCTGGTCTTGAAGCCATTCTGGTCTTGAAGCCATTCTGGTCTTGAAGCCATTCTGGTCTTGAAGCCATTCTGGTCTTGAAGCCATTCTGGTCTTGAAGCCATTCTGGTCTTGAAGCCATTCTGGTCTTGAATCCATTCTGGTCTTGAAGCCATTCTGGTCTTGAAGCTATTCTGGTGGTCCTGAATCCATTTTGGCAGCCTTGTAACCATTTTGACAGACCTGAAGCCATGTCGGTTATTTTGACGGTCTTGAAGTCATTTCGGCTGTCTTGAAGCCTTTTTGGTCTCGAAGCCTTATTGGTAGTCTTGAAGCCATTTTAGCAGTTTTAAAGTTATTCTGGTCTTGAAGCCATTTTGGTGGTCCTGAATCCATTTTGGTGGCCTTGTAACCATTTTGACAGTTCTAAAGCCTTGCAGCCATTTTGGCAGTATTGAAGCTATTTTGACGATCTACAGGCTGTTTCAGCGGTTTTGAAGCCATTTTGACGGCCTTGAAGTTAGCGATCTTGATGTCATTTTAGCGATCATGAAGCTATTTTGGTAGTCATGTTGTCCATTTTGGTGCTCTAGAATCAGTTTTGGCGGTCGCGACCCTTGTTGAAGGTCTTGAAGCTATTTTGGTAGTTTTGAAGCCATTTTGGTGGTCTGGACACCATTTTGGTTGCCTCGAAGCTATTTTGGCGGCCTTGAACCCATTTTGGCAATCTTAGTGATTTGGGCCCTTGAAGCCATTTTGGTGGAATTGAAGCCATTTTCAGGCTGTTTTAGCGGTTTGAACGAGGTTTTGAAGCCATTTTGGTGGTCCTGAATCCATTTTGGCGGCCTTGTAACCATTTTGACAGTTCTAAAGCCTTGCAGCCATTTTGGTGGTATTGAAGCTATGTTGACGATCTACAGGCTGTTTCAACGGTTTTGAAGCCATTTTGACGGCCTTGAAGTTAGCGATCATGATGCCATTTTGGCGGTTATGAAGCTATTTCGGTAGTCCTGTAGCAATTTTTTCGGTTTGCAATTCATTTTGGTGTTTTTAAAGCCATTTTGGAGTTCTCGTGGCCTTGTTGGCGGTCTTGAAGTTGGTGGTTTTGAAACCATTTTGGCTGACTCGTAGCTATTCTGGCAGCCTTGAACCCATTTTGGCAATATTCATGATTTGGAGCCTTGAAGCCATTTTGGTGGAATTGAAGCCATTGTCAGACTATTTTAGCGGCTTTGAAGCCATTTTGACGGCCTTGAAGTTGGCGATCTTGATGTCATTTTGGCGGTCATGAAGCCATTTTAGTAGTCCTGTAGCCATTTTTTCGGTCTGCAATTCATTATGGTGTTTTAAAGCCATTATAGCAGTCTCGTGGCCTTGTTAGCGGTCTTGAAGTTGGTGGTTTTGAAGCCATTTTGGCAGTCCTGTAGCCTTTTTTGCGGTCTGGAATCTATGTTGGTGGCCTTCAAGCCATTTTGGCGGCCACGAGACCTTGTTGGCGGTCTTGAAGTTAGTGGCGTTGAAGCCATTTTGGTGGTCCGGACACCATTTCGGCTGTTCCGAAGCTATTCTGGTGCCCTAGTACCCCGTTTTGGTAGTCTTGATGACTTGGGGGCCTTGAACCCATTTTGGCGGTCTTGAAGCCGGTTTGGAGGAATTGAAGCCATTTTGCCGATTTTCGAGTTGTTTAAGCGGTTTTGAAACCATTTTGACAGCGTTGAAGTTAGCGATCTTGATGTCATTTTGGTGGTTATGAAGCCATTTTGGGGGTCTCGTGGCCTTATTGGTGGTCTTGAAGTTGGTGGTCTTGATGCCATTTTGCCTGTCTCAAAGCAATTTGGTGGTCTTGAAGCCATTTTGGTGATCTTCAGGCTGTATAACCGGTTTGAAAGCTATTTTGACGACCTTTAAGTTAGCTATCTTTATGCCATTTTGGCGAGCATTTTGGCGATCTGGAATCCATTTTGGTGGTCTTTAAGCCATTTTGGCGATTTCGAAGCCTTGGTGGCGGTCTTGAAGTCATATTAGCACTTGTGAAGCCATTTTGGCAGTCTTGATGGCCTTGAACTCATTGTGGTGGTCTTGAAACTATTTCGGTCACCTTAAATTCGTTTTGGCAGTCTTGAAGTAATTTAAGCGGAATTGAAGCCATTTTGACGATCTTCAAGCTGCTTAAGCGGGTTTGAAGATATTTTGAAGGTCTTGAAGTTGACGATTGTGAAGCAATTTTGTATGAATCTATATTGAAGCCATTTCGGTAATTGCGCTTACTTTTTTTCAGTTTGAATGCCATTCTTGAGTTTTGGAGGTCATTTTGGGCATTCAATATTTACGGTTTAGGAGTTTGTGGAATTTACGAAAATGGGTTGCAATCAATGAAATTTTCAAAACCATTGTTCTAGAGATACCTTAGATTGATCTCAAAACCGGCCTAAAAGACGAATCTCAATCGGTCTCCCTGTTTGCCATGATGAATTCCCTGAGGAATCCTTTAAGGAACCCCATGAGGAGCCTAAGAACGAAGCGCTGCGCTGCGCTTGAGTGAAGGTGACGGCAACGCATAGAAAAATGAGCAAATACACAAACCCTGCTTCTGAGGATGTAATCTTTGCTATCAAATTCGTTCGAAGCATTTACCTTTGAACGGCAGATGACGCGATTGTACCTGTCTCATAGTGTTTGTATGAGAAAATAGAAGAGTTGCCAGTCTTCTTGATATGATGTCTTTGCTAAGAATCTGCAAGTAATGCTAAGAGAACTCCATGAGAAATTCTTTGAAGAATTTCGAAGGAATTCCAAACGATCTCCGTCAGGAATTTCAGAAATCTTGTGGAATTTTACTATGGAAATTCAACAAATTATTGGAGAATTTATATAAGAAATTGCAGAGGAATCATATAAGGCATTAAATGAGATATTTAAGAGGCATCCCATGGGAAGTTCATTGATAATTTTTAAGGAATTTCATAAGGAATTCCATGAGTATTGTGATGAGAAATGCTAGAGAAACTTCACGAAAAATTGCATGGGATGAGCATTTCAGAAATGTATTGCCAATCATTTCAGAACAGGTCCATGAGGAATTCTTAGAGGAATTCTATCCAGCTTTCCACGCTCGGTAATGGTAACATGCACGGGTTTTAAAACACATCGTAAACTGTACTTTTTGACACTAACTGGTTGTCACAATCGTTTCATATTCCTCTGTTCATTGGAGAGGGAAAAGGGAGGAGTGAAAATGCAAACCCTCCAGTTAGTGTCAAAAACTACACTGAAGGATGCATTTCAAAACCCTTGCAGGCCGCCATTATCAAGTTTGGGAAGCTGAATAACAAGTTTAGGGGAATTTTTAGAAGAATTTCATTAGGAACTGCAGGGATTAGAAAAATGCATCACGCACTGTCGTTTTTGACACTAACTGGAGGGTTTGCATTTTCACTCGTCTATTGTACCTCTCCAAGGAACAGGGGAATGCAACGATTTGTGAGCACCAGTTAGTGTTACAGTTAGCAGTACCGTGGACCCCCCGTTAATCTGACCGTTCTTAATCTGAACACTTTTCAGTTTGAACCCCGCTAATCTGAACACCGTGTAAACTAAAAATAGCTTAAATGTCATCGAGCAAAATGAAACGATGCGAAACGGAACGCAGAGTCAAAACAGAACAAAACTGCTTTTGATGACGATTCTTAGGATTTCCTGGTAAAAGATGATGCGCGATGCAATTGGATGCGAGAAATGAAAGCAGATTTTTCGAAGATTGATTCGCTAGTTGTTGAGCGACTAGAATTGAGATTTTCACGTGTCGCCCACCTCGTTTTGAAACCCGTACATGTCGCCATTACCGAGCGGGGAAAGCTGGATAGGAATTCCATTCGAAGTTCTTTGAAGATTTCTTGAAGAATTACTTTAGAAATTCCAACACATTTTCTTTTAAATTCCCAGGAGAAATTCCACAGTGGTTCTAGGATAATTCTATGTGGAATTCTTGGAATATTTTTTTTATGGATTTAACTGAGGAATTTTATGATGAATTCCAGCGCTACTTCATGAGAAAATTTTACGAGGAATTCCAGGACGAATTGCGTGAGGAATGTTATGACGAATACCGTAATGCACCGAAATCCAGACACTTGGTCCATAAATCCGGATACATTTTAAAGTTGATTATCAAGGCCTACCATGCTCAAAATAGAATGTAAATTTGACTTTATGGCAAAGTCTGAATCATCATACATGTTTATTATGTTTGCAAAGTAGATGCTATAATTAATAAAAAAATAAAGTGCCCAGGATAACGGCCCGTCCTGTATTCTTAGCGTTACGGTACTATGAGTAATTTTTGGAGCTGAGAATCCCAGAAATATTCACGGAATTGGTCAATAATTCCAGAACAATTCCATAAGAAATTCTTTGTAGAATCCTAAAAGGAATTTCAGAGCAATTCCATTAGGAAATCTATAATCCCAACCGTTAGAAGAAAAAGGGGTTATTTAGATTTATATAGATGAGAATCCCAGCACTGTATAGACAATAAACGAAAACTGGCGCAACTGTGTCCGTAAAATCAAATCAAAAATCCTACTCACCACTACTGCTACTACTATCATCTAGGGGTGTACTACTGCTGGTGAAGATCTGCGCCCAGAGGAGTCCAGCTACCAGCAGCAGCACCGTCGTGCTTCCCAGCGGCCACGCGTCCCTTCGAATCGTTCGTTGCCGCCTGCAGTCGCCCCCACAATCCACCAGCAGGCCATTGTGCCCCAGTTTCCTACTGCATTCGTCCGGTAATCGCTCCATTTCTCGCATTCCTCGGCATAGGATCACCCAATCAACGGGGGGTCGATTCTTTAAACGCCTTCAAATGTGCGCGCACCTTCCACGAAGTTCAATGACTACGGTCGTTGGTGCTGTGCTAATTGAGGTCTTTTCCACGGTTACCAATCCTGTAATCGAGATGAAGAGAGAGAAACAATTTACAAATTAGACCCAGAAAAGCGCCGCTGCGATTGCTGCAATAAAGAGCCATCTGATGGACGGCGGTGATTCAATGTTACGCACTGCGAGGCATTGGGGTGAAATTTTGAGTGCCGATGCATCTTGTTGGTTGTGAAATCAAAAGGAGGTCGTCAAACTCAACTCATGCATTCGTCCGTTCGAAAGCCGCGCACGGTGAAGACCGAAAAAAGGTTATACGATTACCATCATCTGCTCGTTGCAAGTCTCAGTCTGCGTCGCCCGCAGTAATGGGATTATATACAAAGAAAGCAGTCGGGCCGACGTAAATACGCCACCTGGGTATAATCCAAGTCGGCGGCGTAACATTCCAGAAATAGACTCGGTCGTGCGGATTGCACAAGGATCACCGAGAACAATACCGAAGGCAATAAATAATTCGATCGAATCGGTACGCGTAACTTGCTTTTGATACACTTCTACTGGTGGTATAATTATACCAGCTGTTGATTTTTTTTTAATATTGGACAGCTGATCACTCATTGCTGGTCAGCATTGTTTATTTAACGCGCAGCAAGCCAGGAAAAACTTTCGCTTTTGTTTTCAGTTTCACTGGTTGAATCCAACGAGTAGCAGGAAAAAAATAGCGAACCATCGAGCAAGCGGTGAGCGTAATCGTTACAAATTGCCATGGTAATTGGTTTGTGTTGATTAAGAAAAAAAAAACGTTATGCAAAAGCGCTCGCGCAGTTACATCTCTGTCACTCCTGTCAAACCTGTCAATTTCAGTCAAAGCGAATTTTAATTTTCATTCCACACCGAATCTTCAAAGAATTTAACTCATTTAGATGCTTCAATCAACCGGGTCTCGCAGCAGGGCGTTATCCGGGAAAGCGAGAAGCTAATGAAAAAGTAGGCACTTTTTAAGAGCTTTTGCGACGAGGGACCGTGGGAGTTGAAAGTTGCTGCCTCTCTGACGTAGGCTCATAGTCTTCGTTCGTCGTCATCGCCATTGCTGCTGTCGCTCGCAAATGTTTTCGACTAATTTTATTTATCTTTCCAGAGCAAGGCACGGGGCGAAAGGGCGAGTGCTGCGAGTGTTGATGTCAATTACATTCGAGTTTGGAGAGAGGTAGGGCTGAGCTTAAAAGTTTTCCAATTTGGTTTTTTTGTTTAGCAAGACTGGAGTCTGTAAATGGAAGTTTAATGCACTTTTTTTTTTCTGGGGGAAATTTTTGCGATAACTGGAAGTTCCATAACTTGTAAGTCAAGTTTAAGTTATTCGTCGACATCAGTCTCATCATTGCTGTTTAATGGACAAAAGCTTAGCCTTAATGTAATGCCTGATGTGGATGATTTCTTTTGGGATTCTTTGGACTTTCATTTCAGTTCGATCCCGTTTCGTTCAGAGCCATGTTAGTCGTTTTTCGAAAACCCATGTGGCATATTTATAAACAAAAATTTTCATAAACCTTCGAGCTTCTTTACTTACTAACTGTTTCTAATTGCAATTGGAGCTAGTGTTTAAACACATTTTGGGGCCTTTCATCTCAAAGCCCTAGGGTGTTGATGGAAAGCATTTTGCTGCATCTTTTTAGAAGAATTGATGGTCGTTTTTCGAGACTCGATTTTGGACACTTTTCTGCAGCACTTTATATAATGCCTGGTCCTTCCCTATAGGAAAAGTGTGACCCAGGAAGAATCTGGCGGTAGACTTTAAATATTCCATAGCAGCACCCTTATAGTCGCTATATTCATAGTCTGGCGGATAGAATTTCGATCTATCAAAAAGCGGAACCAATTCAACAATTGACAATTGAAAAGGTTCCATAACCTAAAGATGGTGTTAGTTTGTGTAGGCGAGCCTTGAGTCACGAGAAAACTGTTTCCGAAATTTTGTTCGCAATAGCTGATGTGCTCTTTTCTGTCGTTGGTCGTGATTTGCTCGATTGGTTCCGCAATTTGACAGCTCAATTAGTTCCCGAGATTCTATCCGCCAGATTATGAATATAGCGACTATATTAGTGGTCGGATCTGAAAGGTTTTGACAGCAGTGCTCCTCTGTCAGTGCTGAAAATTTTGATACGATTCGTGCAGAGGAATTTTACGACGAATACCGTAATGCACCAAAATCTGGACACTTAGTCCATAAATCCGGACACTGTTGCAAAGTAGGCGTAATAATTAATAAAAATAAAATGCCTGGAATAATGGACCGTCTGGAATTCTAAGCGATACGGTACTATGAAGATTTTTTTTTAAAAGAGAATGCCTGAAATATTTACGAATTTGTTCGTCAATAATTTCAGCACAATTCTATAAGGACTTCTTTGTAGAATCCTAAGAGGAATTTCAGAGGAATTCCATCCCAATATATAATCCCAACCGCTAGAAGAAAATGGAGCAGCATTTAACCGACCGGTGCAAACTTCCGATTTTAATTTCGCTTACTACTTGACTAGCCTATTGGTCCCAAGCAAATCTATTAGCGTACCCCATTCGAAATTCTAGTACTACACTATGTTTGTTTTGATTCTGTATGAAAGTTTGACAGATAAAATGAGGGGTTCGTGGATTTTCCTTTGTTTCGAGGGGTGCATCAATTAGCTTGGGACCGATGAGAGTACCAGAGCTTAGCCAAAAAGTTGAGCACGTTTCGTCGGGACCTTCTGGTCTTAGAGTTACCTCTATGATTTAACTGTTTAAGAACCTACCCAAAAATGGGCAAACTGTGTTGGGAGTGACAAGTTGACTAATGAACAACATCGACACGAATCCGATCAACGTTTTTCATTTGTCAACTTGTCACTCCCAACACAGTTTACCCATTTTTGGGTATGTTCAGTTTTGACCGATCTGGGTGAATTATACCCAAATTAGGGTAGTTTTGAAATAGAGTGTATACTACTGCAAAAATGGCACTGGCTTAAGGCCCAAGCGCAATGAGGGTGGAAGCGGAACGGAAACGGCAAGTTTGACAGTTGTCACAACTGACATTAAGATGCCTAATCGAAGTCGATTTGGTTTTAACTAGTTTTCAATCCGACAAGTAGGCTTACTCAGATCGGGCTTTTTCGCTGCCGCTGTCGTTCCGCTTCCGCTTTCATTGCGATTGAGCCTTTAGTAAGCTCTCAATGGACAACTGTGGAACTGCTCTGAGAACACTAAGTTGAGGGCCGGCATATAAATCGCAGTGGGGACGTCGATTACCTAGCTCGTTTATTAGGAAGGCTCAATCGCGTTAGCTTTACGGAGCCGATAATTCATGGTTAATTGTTTGTAACAAAATCAACTTATTTCTTTGTCTAGTAAGAGTTGGACCGAATGCTCGCGGTTTAGTGGGGACGTTGATGGAATGGATTGATTGAATCGAAATGCTATTCCGTTATAGCCGTATCAATCCAATTTTACATATAATCGTATAATGTTTGCAACTGTCTGCCATCCTCAATGTGTAAGTAATGGTTTAAAAGGGAATAGATATGGGCAATTTAGTGCCAGAAATTCATTTCACTTAGCGAATGCCCTTGAATGGAGTAGCTTTTCTTTCTCAAACTTAATTTCCCATCTAAGCGATATAAAATACTCGAATGCTAGAAAAACACTTTACCTCCATTAAAATCCCATTCCTTTCACTCCATTACATACAATATGAACCTACCTAAAGCCGAGTTTAGACGTGGCAAGTGAGTTGAATTCAACACTCACCCTGATCTAGTGGTCGACGTTCAAGTAACGAATATAAAAATTTGGACATAGGGTAAACGCTCCTATAGTTGCGGTACGTTAGAAGCGTTAGGTTCCTATAGTTGTGTATGGAGACTCCATACACAACTATAGGAACCTAACGCTTCTAACGTACCGCAACTATAGGAGCGTTTCCCCTAGTGGTCGTTCATTTTGCAGTTCAATTGAGGTGAATCATCTAAACCGGGCTTAATAGCTCTTCATCTTTCCAATAAAAAAACCAAACAAACAGAACCCTGTCAATCGGGCGCTCGAATTTTACACCCACGCTCAATGTTTCCCTTTCATCGGAACAACTCAAACACGTGCCCTGCTCTCCAGGTGAATCAAATTCTTCCGATCTAAGATGAAGAGATGCCCTCCATCAAATCGAACCGTATCCTTCGAAAAAGTGTTTTATTCCGCTTCACTCGTCTCTACGCTCAGCGCACAGTGGGGCCGTTCTGGCAAAAAAGACGGTACAAACCATTCTCTCACCTTTTTTGACGTTTTAGAGGTTAGGTGTCTTCTACCAAGTTGCTTAAAATGTTACTTCGTCGGCAGAATTTTGATTGAACAGAACTTTTATTAAGCTACATGGCCAATGAGAATAATTCAGAGGGAGATAGTCACTTCTACTCAGAGGTATGGAGAAATTTCTAAAAACTTAGGAACTCAGCGCTGAGTACCTGCAGTATTTAAGGAATTTCTCATACAACTGAGTAGAAGTGACTCTCGCTCTGAGTTATTCTCATTGATCATGGTGTCAGAAAATTAGCTGGTGTCTTCAGAAAAGTTGCTTATTTTAATGTTATCTAAAACTTTCTAGATAACTCGCTTACTAATTCACTCGAAAAACTAGTTCTAAGGTAGTCCTAGGAGAAACCCAATTGCATCTTCTTAGGATTGATATATAGAAATTTGGTACCTGCAGCAAATTTTATTAAAATCAATAGTTCTGCAACTTTGTCGAATACATAAACCCATTATCTAAAAAAATCAGAAAGTTAGAAATTGGTTGTGTATCAACAATTCTGGTGACTATTTCAAAAGATGCCGAGTAATATTTGAAGCAGCTTCTCAGAAGAAACCTAACCTCTAAAATGCAAAAAGTGATAAATATGTTTTGACCGTTCTTTTTTAGAACGGCCCCACTGTGCAGCGTATCGTAGGTGAAAACTGGGAACTGCGGACTCAAGTCAATCGAAAACTTCTAAAAGAGTTGTTTTCAAGTATCAAATTGGTTTGCTCTTCTTCATTTGAA